ATTCAAATAAAAATCATATAATACAAATGGAAAAACTTCCAATGCACATGAAGAATTATAGAATACAAATGAAAATCAAACAATTAAAATGAAAAATTTAAAATGCACATGAAGAATTATACAATACAAATAGACTTGCCATACAAGTCTAAAGAACCAAAAAAAAAATTGAAATAAAACTGTACAGTAATAATTGTATATCAATGATTTTTTTTTTTTAATTCAAATTTAATATCAGGGTTCCGTAGTATATGACATTTTAATCTTTCACTAAAATGTACAGGCCTTTCTTGTTACAGTTCCACCGGAAGTAAGCCTTAGTCATTACAGAAAGGCCCAGAGAGTAGGAACGGAGACAGTACTACAGTGTGACGTGTCTGCATCGCCCCTGGGCGTCAATGTCTGGAAATTTGGAGATCGCAAATTTGACCAGCAGAGTGGACGGAACTACCACACAGATATGTACAGGGATGACAAGATGAGGTACAGCACTTAACTGCTATCGACATTGTATATATATATATATATATATATATATATATATATATATATATATATATATATATATATATATATATATATATATATATATATATATATGTAAAGCACTGAAAATGACCAACGACACGAACAATAGAAATTGTAAAATTATCGGGACGCCCTGTCCCTTCCTCAGGACAAAGAAAAAAGTTAAAAGGTCATAAGAACAAAGGAAAAAGAAAAACAAAAACAACTAGCACTACTACTAAACTACTAAACCCTATATATTTACAAACTTAGTTACATGTTGAATTGGAAATTTTTAAGAACACTATTAAAGAAAGAAATCCGGACCGCTATGAAATACGTTCGGTCTATGGGGTATACTCGGGTGAAGTGCGATTTACATAATTGAACGAATTAATTATGCTAATTAATTACGACAATATGGCGTAACTATACTTGATAAAGAATAATCAAAGAAAAATAACATAGCAGGGATATTTTAAAATATGAATTATGATCTATTATAAATTTTGAAATATTTTAGGACTTAATATCGGAAAAAAATAATTAACACAGGCGTAAACAATTCATAGCTATGTGGGCTGTTCGAGAGTTGGTGACACAAATTAACTGTAGAGTTAACACTAAATTGAGAGAATAATCTTGTTTAGTATCTTCAGGAATTGGGTCTAGTTTACGTTCATTCTGGTGAAGTCATTCAGTTTGTTAATACCATTAGGGCGGAATGACTTCAATCTGTGCATCCAGTACTTTTCTTTGCTTTTTCTCTGAGCGTCTGTCCATCTTGGGTTATGGTCAATCACCACTACTGTCATGTCCTCCCATTTGTGACCCTCAAGGTTGAAATGTTCCCTAACGGGTTCATTGAGTTTTTTGGTTCTAATGGTCGAGCGGTGGTTATTAACTCTCCTGCGGAGATCTCCTGTTTCGCCAATATACTGTTTGGAGCAAACTTTGCAACTGATGAGATAAATGCAGTTGTCACTATGACAGGACAAATTCCCTAGTATTCTGTAGCTGCGGCCTGTAACAGGGCTGTTAAAACTGTCTGTGTCAGTGCTGTGCTTACAAAGAAGACATCTTCTGTCAGAGCAAGTTTTAAAGCCCCCGTTAGGTAATGGGTTGTCCAGTCTGGTTCTTACTACCATGTCCTTTAGGTTCCTTGGGCGTCTGTATGCAGCCAATGGGGGTTCCTTAAAGACCTCTGCCATTCGTTTGTTTGAATGGAGAATTTGTAGGTTCTTTTGAAGGATACCGCTAAGGTTCTTAAGGACGGGATGGTATGTGGTTACCAGAGGGACCCTGCCGCTATTGTCTTTCTCACAAAGATCTGACGTCCATTGATTTACATCTCCGTCCACACGTAGAGACTTTGCCATCCTATCTCAAGGACACCACGGACTACATTAACAAGACGCCTTCTACTGGCCTCCCAGATCATACCCTTCTCGTGACTATGGACATCACATCTTTGTACACCAATATTCCGCACGATGAGGGTATCGAAGCCTGTAGAGAAGTCTGGGATAGTAGATCCATACCAATCCCTTCTACCGAGTCCCTTGCTAAGCTCCTTGAACATGTTCTCAAGTTCAACAACTTCATGTTAAATGGAGAACATTACCTGCAGGTTAATGGCACTGCTATGGGTACGAAAATGGCACCGTCTTATGCTAATGTCTTCATGGGCAGACTGGAACGCAACTTGTTACTTCAAGCACCATTTAGGCCCCATAGCTGGTTGCGATTCATTGACGATATAGAGATGAAGTGGGCCGAATGTCGCGAGAGCCTCGAGGCATTCATTACGTTTGCCAACACCTTTCATCAGTCGATCAAATTTACAGTAGACGTATCTAATTCGAAAAACGTATTCCTAGATACTACATCTACCCTGATTGATGGTTAAATCGAATTCAGTCTCCACACCAAACCCACAGACTCCCACCTATATCTTATGCCCACTAGCTGTCATCCCCCACACACTTCTAAGGGATTGCCTAAGGGTCTAACCACCAGAATTCGACGCATCTGTTCGTCCCCTGCCTTATATCAGGAGCAAAGTGGTCTTCTTAAGTCCCATTTATGCAAAAGAGGCTACAATGCCCGCACCGTACAAACAGCTATTGATGAGATGGCGGGACATGACTGGCAAAACCTATTACGCTACAAGGAGAAAGACAATAGCGGCAGAGTCCCTCTGGTAACCACATACCATCCCGTCCTTAAGAACCTTAGCGGTATCCTTCAAAAGAACCTACAAATTCTCCATTCAAACAAACGAATGGCAGAGGTCTTTAAGGAACCCCCATTGGCTGCATACAGACGCCCAAGGAACCTAAAGGACATGGTAGTAAGAACCAGACTGGACAACCCATTACCTAACGGGGGCTTTAAAACTTGCTCTGACAGAAGATGTCTTCTTTGTAAGCACAGCACTGACACAGACAGTTTTAACAGCCCTGTTACAGGCCGCAGCTACAGAATACTAGGGAATTTGTCCTGTCATAGTGACAACTGCATTTATCTCATCAGTTGCAAAGTTTGCTCCAAACAGTATATTGGCGAAACAGGAGATCTCCGCAGGAGAGTTAATAACCACCGCTCGACCATTAGAACCAAAAAACTCAATGAACCCGTTAGGGAACATTTCAACCTTGAGGGTCACAAATGGGAGGACATGACAGTAGTGGTGATTGACCATAACCCAAGATGGACAGACGCTCAGAGAAAAATAAAAGAAAAATTCTGGATGCACAGATTAAAGTCATTCCGACCTAATGGTATTAACAAACTGAATGACTTCACAAGAATGAACGTAAACTAGACCCAATGCCTGATGATACTAAACAAGATTATTCTCTCAATTTAGTGTTAACTCTACAGTTAATTTGCGTCACCAACTTTCGAACAGCCCACATAACTATGAATTGTTTACGCCTTTGTTAATTATTTTTTCCCGATAATAAGTCCTAAAATATTTCAAAATTTATAATAGATCATAATTCATATTTTCAAATATCCTTGACATGTTATTTTTCTTTGATTATTCTTTATCAAGTAAAGTTACGCCATATTGAGAGAATGAAACAATGTACGATTTACTGATTGTCGTAATTAATTAGCATAATTAATTCGTTCAATTATGTAAATCGCACTTCACCCGAGTATACCCCATAGACCGGACGTATTTCATAGCGGTCCGGATAGCGTAATAATATTGAAATTTGTTTTTTATCATTGAATATAAAATATTACTGAAATATTATATTTTACTGAAATATTTATGCTCTTTACTTGGAGAATTGGATTTTTCTCGTAATAGTGTGTAATAATTGTATAATTTGACAGAGTCACTCTATCACTGAGGATTTTAAATATTGGTGAGGAGGATTATGGGAAATATACATGTGAAGCGCACAATAAGTATGGAAGAAGCGAGAGATCAATGTATCTGTACGGTACGCCTTATATTGATCTCCTACCTACGATGAATCAAAAATATTTATGATTGTCATATAATGATAAGATATAAGTTCACCAACATATTTTGTTTGTAAAAAAATTCACAGTATTTTTAGAGTTAGAAAAAAAATTGGGATTAAGTCGACCATAAACAGTTTTATTTGTACTAAATGTTGATTGTAGAGTTGATGAACCCTACCCCAAAACCTAGATCAAGTAGCCTTACTTCAACAACACAGGTGCTCACAAATTCCGATCCAGCTAAAAGAACTCACCCAGAAACTGTATCACAAGTCAGAGAACAAAGTAACGGTGACACAAAAGTATTCGACTTCCGAGATTTAGACAGACAAAAAGGTATGTCTTTGTTACAGATGCACCTAATATTTATGCTGTTGAGCAGTTCAACATTTCATTTAAAAAAATCAAAGTATATACTAATAAAGGTTTACGCCTAAGAACCAAGCTTAAAAAGAAAATATATACAGAATTACTAAAAAAGAGGTGAGCTAAAAAGGGAAGATTTCCCATATGATCGCATTGTTGTTGAGTTTATGTGAGAAGGAGACCAGTGTGTCGTTATTCTATGACAGAAGTACAGTTTTGTAAATGCATTAATATTACATTATACAGGCTTTATACTGGGTGCCATGACACACTTATCTCTGTATTACACTTTTTATTTTGAAGGTTTGACGTCGCGAGATGAAAGAAATGGTCAAGGTACCCCACAGGTTGTTCTCTGGACAGAGATAATTATCATTTCGTTAGCACAAGTGTGTTCGATGTGGAGAGAAACGTAATAATGATGGTGTTTGTTATAATTAAACATTAAATCAAAGTAAAAAGCCAAAAATATTTAAACTGAATAAAAGTGCGAAGTATTTATAATGTAATTTAGTTTGTGACAAAGTAATCAACGAATACAACGTTTAGTTTAAGAAGTGGAACCACCTGTTGTTGTGTAATTCCAATTACGAATTTTTAAAATTATTAAACTTATTTCTCTTTGAGGCCGCCATACAATCCGTTATTTTGTACGGCGTAGGAATACTTTATGCAGCAAAGAAACGTATACAAGATGAATATCGATAAAATCCAACTTAAATTGTCAAAATAATCAATAAATAAACTTATAAAAACTCATTGAATGTTGTCTAAGTCACCAAATGTCGTAAATAAGCGTATTCTCCAGAATAATTTGTCCTTGACCATGGCCATGTTGACATTAACGAAACAACGCTCATATATAAAGTTGCAGACCAACGACGTCCTCAATTTGCTCTGGTTTATCAAAGATTGTAAGAGGAGAATATTGGATCTGTAGCATTCATTAATATTCAAATGAATTTGATGCTGATAACAAGAGTCTGAGGTAAGTTTCTTTTAAGAAATCAAAAAAAAACCTTTTAAACTGAGCTGATATGGAACGTCGAGAAAATGACAGCATGATCAGCGATTTTTTAAAATTCATACTCGTGATCCGACAGTGACATAAACATAATATTCCCGTCGCTGTCAATCTTGTTTATCTCCTGTTTCACTTTTTTTAATTTCAAGTTTCTTGTAATCATAATTTTTGCTAAAACGGACTGGAAGTATCTGTTTTCATTGTTTTTACAACAGCCTAGAAGCAAGGTCAAGAAAGTAGTTCTGATTGAAAAATTCATCGAAGTGTAAACTTTTCTTGAATTTGTTCTCGTCCAATCAAAACATAGGGAATCAATGAATAAAATTAAAATTGGAATTATAACAACATGAAATCAAAGTAAAAAGCCAAAAAATATTTAAATGAAATGGATTTACTGAGGTATGCATATGTGACCTATAATGGAATTTTTTCTGCTGACAAAGTAATCAACGAATACAACGTTTAGTTTAGGAAGCGGAACCACCTGTTGTTGTATAGCCAAGCGTCAATATGGATCTTGATGAATCATGGTCAGTGAATAATTGCGTGTGTTCGAAGTGACTATCTTTTGCTAATGCAATGCATTCCAATTAACTGTTATGATGTATATACATTATGCTCGATATCCAATTATGTGAGTAGTATTCCATATATCAATTGTTACTAGTATATTATAGTGAGAATGGCTTGCTTTTTTGACAAGCTATTAGAATGAGTTTTTTGTTCAAAAATTATCCCAATGACAAAAATACATAATAATTATCTACCTAAATCTATAAAATTATGCGTTCATTACATCACATTCCTAAATTATTTGAAGAAAATGAATTCTACATGTATTAGATTGAAATTGTAGAGTAATTATAATTTAAATTCAAGCAATAAATGCATTGCATTATCTACTACCTGTGTTAGAGGAAGATTTACTTTACTGAAGCATTCATTAATTTTCAAATACATTCTTAATATATTAAGAGCATTTGTAAGAAATGATAAAAACACATTTAAGGTTGTCGTAGGAGTCATCTAACATGGCGCCTGATACGTCATATCTGAAGTCGTTGTACATATGTTTTTTTTGTACATTTACATATATAACGTTTGCTTGTTGATAAGAAGAGTAAATGTTCCTGTATGAGAAATTTGTGTTTAATGTTAAAGCAACAAAAAGAAAACAAATCTTCAAACCGTGTCTTAGCCATCTGGTCTTTGATAGCTTCCTTCATCAGTTGATTACCCCCACTGCAGAACAATTTGTTCCTAACAATAACCAAATTGGCCACCAGCGAGGATTTTCTATGATCAATGTTACGTTTTAACCACAATTTCTGGTGCATCAAATAATTGATAAATTGCTCAAATTTCTAAGTTAAGGATGATAAATTAAATTAACCGCGCGTCCTCATCCTTAGGAACTCTCCTTATCAATGCCCTTTTTGTATGATGAGCAAATCAAGTCAAATTCATTATGACGTAGAAGAATGAGAAACATCTTAGTCATATAAATGATCAATTTTCGTTTTTATGATTATATTTCTAAGAAATTTGTCTTTTCAATTTGATTTTTATTCTGAATTTATTATCAAAGGTGTCTCGACTTTGCTTTGTAAGTGTTCGGTAAGCTACCAAGAAAACTCTATGAAGCTTTTTAAACTCTGAGATGAATTTCATGATTCCACTTTCATATCCCCTTATTATGCATTGAAACGCATTAAAATGTTTCATTGCATGGGTTTCCATTTAATTTTAAAATCGAACTTCAATAGTTACATACATGTAATAACACGCCCATTTCTTTAGAAACTTTGTAATGCTTCGGGACACCGCACTCTATCGACTAGCAACATATATGGTCACATTATGTAATGAATTATAGTCATTCATAGATAAGCTCAATAAATGACAAATAATACCCCCGCCTCCTTTATGATTATAATGGAAAAGTTTTGCTCTGGGAGACCGGTATAAGTGTCAGTTCAGAAAAGTATATGTAAAATAGAATGGCATTATCTAATAAAGAATCTGTGAGAAAGTATCATAATTTTATTCAGTGATTTAGAAGGAGTTGCAGATAAAAGATAGGTAAGCTATAATATCATAGTAAGAATGGCAGCCTCTATGTTTTGCTATGGGAAACCCAAAAATATGTGTCGAATCAAAAAGTAAAAAAAGGAGGTTACACTGGCACAATGTTACAAAGATTCTGTGAAAGTTTCAATGAAATTTCATTCAGTGGTAAGACATGAGTAGCGGATAAGAGATGGACACCTCTTATACACTATTGAATAAAATATAAAAACACTTTTACAAATTCTCTATTACGTAATGCCATTATGACCTCCTATTTTATTTTTTGATCTCGCATTTACTTCGGATGTATCACAGTCAAACATGGACATTGCCATTATCATCATATGGGAGGTGGGGATATCATTTAGTGAGCTCAGTGATCACAGTACCTCTGGTTCTGTTTTCCTTTCATATTAAAATTGTACAGGAGAATCTATATCATATATAATATGTGTATATATATGATAACGATGTTTCAGATTATAAACTTTCCTTATTCCTTACTTGTTGGGAGCTGATTCTAAGATCTCCATCGAATTCTGATTCGACCCAGCTTTTGGCGCCGGTTGAACATTGATATTAGACCCTATGTCACTTTTCTTATTCAAAAGTCGCAATTATCTCAAACAAAAGATGGAATTGTCTTGTCCTCTTAACAGCGATCGATTCCTCTTGGGGATCAAATCATATACAATGTTTACAAAGAATTTTAAAAACAATTAAACACATATATACATGTTATAGCATTTTTAACATTAATTTACTGAAAAGCAAAATACACTCAGCAGCACTTTCAATTCTTATTTAGGAAACTGGGTTACCCCTCCCATACTGTTAAGAAGAGGGGGTAACCATTACGTCTTTAACACGAAGTACTTATTCCTGTAGCAGGCCTTCCTATAGATTTCTTCAACACAGCAATATTGGACAAAATAGCCCACATTTTCTAGTTGTATGATCATTTTCGAGATTTAACTCTGCGATCCATCTATATAATGTATAGTCTTGAAATCAAGGATATGGAGATAACAAACAGTATTCAATATCAAGGTCCTTAAAACAATACAAAATAGGAGCAGAGCAAACACGGACCTCCAAAACATCAGAGGTGGGATCAGATGCCATGGAGGAGTGAGCATTCCCTGCTGACCTGTCACAGCCACCGTCTGCACCTTGTCATGATCGGGAAATGAAAAAAATCGTCGTCAATTTAGTGTATATAATGGACTAACAATTAGTATGAAAAACGCCAGTCAGCATTAGACTCAATGATAAATTGTATTTGCTGACAAGGACATTGTATCGACCATAGAACGCACATGTACGAAATGATGTCTTCAAACGAGTCTGCTGGTATTCTTGTTTCATCAACTTGTTTTTCAATAATTTACCTCTTTTTAGGAATTGTTCATACGTAGAGCATGCTCTAGCGTTTCGAATCAACTGAGATATATAAATTTGATAAATTGTATGTTGCTGACACAGTAAAATTTTCTCCGACACAGTAACGATTCAAATTTTATGCGTGCGACACAGTAAAAATTTTGCCGACACAGCAAGATCTGTGATAATCAGTAAATTAAAACACAAAAGTTCTATCTAATTGTACGTCTTCAATTATATAAGGTGAGGGCTTGTGCATAATCAATTACGAGACTTTACATGAAGGAACAAAGACAAATAATTTGTTTTCACACTTCTATGTAACGGTTAATTGGTAGTTGCACTAAAAAAACATTGTACTATTTTTTAAACAATATGTTTTTTTTACGAGGCTCTAGAATTATGTTGGTACTGCGGTAAGTCAAACATAAATATGACCATCGTACCGCATTAATTTAATTGATGTAAATAAATTGTTTTAATTTTTCAAGGAGTTCATAAAAGTATTTAACTATTCTGAAGTTTCTTTTTTTTTGTAATTCGATAATAATTTTATTCGATCAAGAAAACTGACAAAAATCACGGCAAATTTATATAAATTTCGACTGTATTGACAAGAATTTCCTCTGATTTTCAGAACATGTGATGTGATTTGTGTGACGAATTAGTAATTTTTAAAAGAAGTTTGTGATGTATTCTTTTGTAATTATAATAAATAGAGATTCACTGCGAATCTGATCGCGAAAATATCGCGAAATTTTAGTGTTTCGCGTAAACTCTGCAACACAGTACAATTGCAATTGATGGAGAACCCTGTAGGTGATGTGATGAAAGAATATTGCTGCATAAGTAAGGGAGGTTGACGATAGAAAAGTTAAAGTCATCACGTTAATCATAGAGTTTGGTTGTTTGATTATCATGAATAAAATATCCAAGTATGAAACAGATGTGTCAGACTTATGCGTGAAATGAAGAAAACACTTGCTGTGGCCTTCAACT